GGCACGGTCCACAGGTTGCTTTATTGCAGGTTTAATTGGGTAGAATGAGGTTTGTCACTACCCATCTCGCTATTTTCGTTATCTGCGGCTCTCACTGTCCACATTGTTACGTTGTTCAAGCCCATTGCATATTGTGTTGTATTTTGCGTAGTTGCTTTGCATTGGACAAGTTCTCATTGACTGAATATTCCTGTGTGTGTTAATGGAACCTGCTGTATCATTCATGGCGCTATCACAGTGCAAACCAATAGCGATTACTAGTTTCTGTCCCTCTGTGTGCCCCCATTCAACAGCGACTAAACAATTTTTTTTTCCTGAAATTCTATACTGATAGGTTTTACAAAAATAACGGAAATTTCCGAGTACAAAAAGACCTACATACTCGTACATTTCTGCTTGAAACTAGGAGTATCATAATAAATGCTTATCGGAAAGAAAAATATTTCGAACAAATGTTGTAGAGAGAGATGAAACATTCGCGACGGAGTCTTTGTTCCTTGAAGAAAGCAGTTTTATAGTATGTGGCGCCGTGTAGATATTGTATTAACCGACGTTTCGGAGGAACGTATCGCCTCCATCTTCAGGATTGAAGAAAGAAGAAGAAAATCCGCGCACGAGGAACCAGCGTGAGCAGTTGCTAACAGACTAATGTCGAGTCGGATAATTCCTTGACTGCACTTCCAAACTCAGACACAGACATTTTTCGATTAAACGCTGAAATTAATACTTATTTCTAAATACTGATGTTGATCCCATGTACTCATATATTCTAACACCATCAGTTACGATAACTGTATATATAGCACATACGTGCTTAATCACTTCCATTCCCTAAGCCTGTAAAACCTGTTGTAATATTGTTAGAGATTATATAAAACAGAGTCTATGTGCTTTTAATCGCATGCCGCACGCGGTAGCGTAACTGGTTGAGCACTATACTACAAGTTGGAAAGTCCTGGGTTCGATTCCCGACGTCACTGGATTTTTCAATTAACCTAATCCTTCCAGCCGCACTATGGCCATGGGGTCGACTCAGCCTCTAACAGAAATGAGTACCAGGAATCTTCCTGAGGGTAAAGGGTGGATGGCGCGTAAGGCTGACAACCTCACCGATATCTGTGAGCAGATTGTCTAGAAAATGTGGGGGCCTCGACGTCTCAAAAAACTATGGGCCTCAATGGCCTGTTACAGGGATAGCTTTAGGTAATCACATCCTTGTTCTAGTAACAAAGAAGAGGATAAGGTTCAATTATAGGGTAACATCTCGTACATGACATAAATATACATGAAATGGGCGACGTAGCTCCTGCCGCTATGTTTAACACGACCGCTATTGACAGATTGCGTCATAGGAGATGAGCAACCTGTGAACCAGCTTATAATGCTAGAGGATGTGAAAACATTTTAAATTTACAGGGAAAGAAATACAGTTCATTAAGGGGGTAAATGTACTCGTATGAACCGGAGAAAATTTTGCGAATCGCTAAAATATTTAAATATGGGTTAACGGGTGTTGCTAATTATGCATCTGAAATAAATTGTTCGAAGGAATTGTACACGTATTCTGTTAAAATCCGAAAATTTGTTTATCACTGGGCAAAACGCATTTCCAAAGCAGGGCGAATGGGACACAAACAAATGCCGATATGTCTCATTACTGCGTAGATACTTATCAGAATTCGTAATAAAATCTAATCGATAATGGCGGTAATTTCCCAGGTGGTAAAGCGGCAGGAGCGTGAAGCTGAACAATCACCTCCAACTAGTGCTGAGGTCAAGAAAACGTGTATCTATACATCCACTCCCCCATACGTCTTCAGGGCATAGTGCTTAATTAATTAAGCACAGGGGTAACTTTTTCCCCCTCGGCACTACAGCCCCAGTGGGCCTAGGCCTACCTCCATGAACTTCTCCGTTCACTACGGTTTTTCTAGATCTTACACATTCAGTAGGACTCCTTGGGCGGGTGTTCAGCTCGTCGCAAGGCCTCTACTTGTACACAAACACAGAAAAACGCAAACACATAAACTAAACATCCATGCCCTGAGTGGGATTCGAACCCACGATCCCGGTTTCCAAGCGAGCGAAGGCAGTACATGCCTTAGACCGCTCGGCTACCGTGACCGGCCAGGGGCAACCTATTATAATAGAATTGCGTCGAAAACTTTACTCATTTTTTTAAATTTATTTCAGTGAAATTCGTTGATTCGTTTGGGAAATACTCGGTTAGAAGTCCTGCCTAGATACCAGCCATATTTACAGAGGAATTCCATGGTATTTCTGAGTCCCTCCATACAATGCCGGGGTAGTACCGCGAGCAGACCATGTTTGCTTCCTTCCAAAGCATATTTCCACCGTCTGACGCTATCTAGTCGCAAAGAGTACAGAAAACGAACAAATAAAATTGATTCACAACACTGAATCGTCAAATTACGAGAGAAGTAGCGGTAATTAATTTATAATTTCTGACGAGATATACAGATGGGCGTGTGTTCAGGAATGTATGCGCAATATATTATTCCTGGAAACCTGCAAGAAATGTGAAACTGGCTAGAACAAGAAAAAGATTATTCTCTAAGTTATATTTGCATTCAAGACCGTCATGCATTCATCACTTCTATCGTCTGAATGAATAGAATAGCATACTGCGAGGGTAAGCATATGTTCCAGCGATCCAGACAACACGGCTATGGGCTTGGACACTGACGTACGGTGACAGTAGTAAGATATATGTTTTGGTGGTAACAAGAAATATAAATTCCGACGTTTATTTTTAAAACTACATGAGCGATTAATTCGAGACTAACAGAGACATGTAAACGCGAAGAGAATCACAGCTAGGCTTATGACATCACCTTGCTGTATGTATGTCCCTCCCGCAACTACTTTTGAAAGCCTGAAACAATTTTTATGGCATTAGATATGTATATCTTGACATCTGAACACATTTCAACTGCGTACTTTATAAACCTCTCCCATAAGTCTTTGTGTCTGTATGTTAATCCCCTTGTCAATGTTAGGCAACGGCAAGGTAAACACGTCTTCAGTGCTATCAGTGTCGTACCAAAGGAAAGTACTAATTCTTCCCTGAACTTCATGACTATTCCTCTTCTCTTCCTTCCTTTATTTCCTTCCTTACTGTGTTTGTGCACAGATAAATAAATGCAAATACGTGTATATTTGTATTACTGTAGCTCTCTAATTACGGTAGCCGAGTGGTCTAAGGCATTTACTGTCTTCGTTCGCTCGGAAGCCGGGATCGTAGGTTCGAATACCGCACAAAGCATGGACTTTTGGTGTGTGCATGCGTTTACTCTGTTTATGTTGTCCTGTATTTGGAGAGAGGCCTTGCGACGAGCTGATCACCCGCTCAGGGAGTCCTACTGTCTGTAAAATGATCATGAAACTGAGAGATCAGCCCTATGCTCCACAGTGTTTAGGTAGAGGCCTTGCGACGAGCTGATCACCCGTCCAAGGAGTCCTACCGTCTGTAAAATGATCATGAAAATGAGAAATCGGCCCTGTGCTCCAAAGTTGGAGCGAAAGGGGAAGAGAGAGGGAGGGGAAGAGGGAGAGCGAGAGGCAGAGAGCTGTCTTATTAGGATGTGTATGGTTTAGTCCAAGACACTGTCCGTAGCGCTGAATGGTAGGACGGCTAGTGGATAAAGATTTACAAAGGTTCTGGAAGGAAATGGTAATGATCAGGGCCCGGATTTTGATGACCTGAAAATATTTAAAAAATGACCTATAAAATGACCGAAAATTCCAGAAAAATTATCTAAAGAAGAAAGAAAGAACACTTCGCTTCCATGTTATTCATATTTCAGAAAACATATGAAGAAAAATTCCCTAAAATGGCAAAAAATGACAAGAAATACCATTAAATGTCCAAAAATTTACCAAAAAATTACCCCCAAAATGAAAAAATGACCTTAAACCTAAAAATGTCAAAAATGACAAAATGTATCTATAAAATTTATATTTCTGTAACCAGCAGCTCATATCCGAGATTTATATATTTAAGAGCATTGCATAGGATACTAAGGAAAAAAGATGACATGTCATCAAAATCCGGGCCCTGGTAATGACATAATGGAGACCTTCCCCCGGAATTTGTCTGGAAGGACCAGGAAAACCAAGAGAAACGTCACGTAGCCAGTGAGCCGGTCGAGTTGAGAACTAGGCACACCGTGAATACCAACCGTTGTCGGTAGGACGGCTGCAATCTTTATCTCCGCAAAGCTAATCTCATCTGAGAAATAGCAAGCTGTGCAGTTACGACATTTTGTATATACACGTATGTAGTTGAGGCCTGTTTCTATCTGATGACATTATACCGAGTTATTTTCAAATTATTTCTTCTATATTATAGCCTTTTTCAAAAGTAATATGAACTGGATTAAAATATCTCAAAATGGTGTCGAAAACAAGAATTTATGTAAGATGGCCGTATATCCCTGTTGCTTCCACTTGGTGCATAAGGAATCTGTGAAACGCTTGTTTCACTTCAGTTTCTTAACCTTCTACATCGGTAGGACTCCTTTGACGGGGGATCAGCCCATCGCAAGGTCACTACTTACACATGAACACAGAATAAAGCAGACGAACATCCATGCATTGAGTGGAATTCGAACCCACGATCCCAGTGTTCCAGCGAGCGAAGATATTTCATGCTTTAGGGGGCCCATACACGTACGTGTCTGGCTCGCGAGTCCGACTCGGCTCGGGTTCCAATGAGCCAAAGTCGTCCGTGTGTGGGTCGCCAATCTCATATGTGTCTCGTGAAATTAATCCGAGCCAGGCTCCTCGCCGAGCCTGACTCGCGAGCCAGACTCGTACGTGTATGGGCCCCCTTATACCGCTCGGCCGGCCACAGTGATCGGCATATAAAAATGTGTACTGTGTCACTCTGTTAGTATTATGTAAGACGTGCTTCATATCAATTACTAAGTTTGTGTAGCGGGTGAGAATCTAATAAGGGACATCATTTATTTCCACAGTTCCAGGCGGCGCTGCTGCAGCGGTGGAACCTCCCCCACTTCATGTGCGCCTTCTGTCCGTTCGTCCAGGTGCTCAGCGTCAACGTGAGTATCTTCACACTGACGGCCATCGCGGTGGACCGGCACCGGGCGATCCTGAACCCACTCAGGTAGGTGCTGCTCTCTAACGAAGAGAAGGCGGGTCAAATGTTGGTTAGAACTGCTTCTTATTGACTGCTCTACTGTTAATGTAAAGACAACGTAGCATATAGACCCGTTGGTAAGCAACGACAGCGAAAAAAGGGGACAAGGGCTACTGCGAGGCAGAGTCCCGTGCACAACAACAGAAGTACTCTTAGAGTCTGTGTTTTCTATGTCGTCCGCTCCGATGCTATATCAGGCTACGACCGAGTTCAGTAGTGCAGTGCAGAGAAGTGAAGAGTTGGTTGGTGAGTTTAATGAATAAATGTATAAGGGTTGGCCATTCTTGGCCCTTGCAACGCGACCTACACCGATCTATTGTGCCTTCCCTTCTGATTATCCCCTCAGCAATCCTGCGCTTCGAATGAAGGGTAGGATTTTGTATGTGGGGGCGTCGAAATAGTCACTTGGTTCGATAAAGTATTGAGCCAAGTGACGTAATCTTAAATAAGCTAAGGCCTCACATTCACACAGGATATGAGTGGCTGTTTCTTCTTGACACCTATTACAAGTGGGACTATCACTTAGTCCCAGCTTGAAGAGGTGTCCTTTGAGGTGACAGTGTCCTGTAAGCAGTCCTACCACCCATCGTAGCTGGTTCCTGTTTAACCTCAACAGTTCCTTCGCTCTTTTAGCAGAGGGTCCTTGTATGAGTCCCTTTTGTTGCCTGAGTCCAGTCAAGGATCCCCAGTATTTCTTGTGCTTCATGTTTGTCTAGTCCCTGATTGCCTTTCTGGCAACTCCTATAGAGATGCCACAGGCTGGTTCAGGTCCTATGAACGGATGTTCAGCTCCAGTCTTAGCCAGTTGATCTGCTGTTTCGTTTCCAGCAATACCCTCATGCCCCGGCACCCATATCGGTTGTACCCTGTTATGTTTGGGCAGTTCCATGAGGGTTTGGTGGCAATCCCAGACCAATTTTGAGTTGATCTGGTGTTTGTCAAGCACTTTAAGTGCAGCCTGTACTTCTGCCTGGAATACTGTCGTGTACTGCCCGAGGCTGAAACTAAGTTTCCGCCTCGTGCTATGGCAGTATACACCAGCTCCAGTGCCCTTATTTATCTTGAAACAATCTGTATACCAGCTCAGTCCCCCTTTTTTAACTCACTTCCATCCATCTGTAATGACACGTCATCCTATAGCGAGCTATCAGATGTCTGCCTACAGACAAAATTGCACTTCAGAGATCAGGAATTGTGTAACTTCGAAACGGATAGAGTAAGCTGGGTTCTGAAACTTGTGTCTGCCTTTTATATGGGACTGGTGGTTCTTATGGCCGAGAATATGGCGACTGAAGTCACCCCTAGATTCTAATGCTAAGAGATCCAAACTCTTGGTCAGAACAAGCTTCTACGGCTAGGATGACTATCACAAATGAAATAATTACAGTAAAACTTGGTTATAGCATCATCGGTTTCTGCGACACCTTGTCTATTGCGTCAAATATTCAATGGTACGAACTAATTCCTCATAAAGCAACTGTTTTTATACCTTGCTTAGTACGACATGCACAAATGCATCAACCTCGTATGTAACGTCATTTTCATTCCTGAATTTCTCTGATATCG